CACTCAATCCTCCGAGCCACAGCAGCCAGCCAGTGGGAAACATCCCGTTTTCAAAGTGACTACAGGCATCAGCTTTGGAGTCCAGCAGACCTAGCTGTTGGCCCTGACCGGATGTGTGGCCCCAAGCCTCCGTTCCTCAGTCTGCTGCATGGGGCGGGAGCAACAGACCAGTCTCTGCTCAATAAATGGCAGCTGGTGCTGCATGTTTTAAGCCCTCAATTTAATAGACTCAGGGCCCGAAAAAGTCAGCCCCCACAGCTGGTGCTTTTTAAAAAAGATTTTATTTATTATTAGAGAGGGGAAGGAGAAAAAGAGGGAGGGAAACATCAATGTGAGTGGTTGCCTCTCAAGCGCCCCCTAGTGGGGACCTGGCCTGCAACCCAGGCACATGCAGTGATTGGGAATCGAACAGGCATCCTTTTGGTTCGCAGTCTGGTGCTCAATCCACTGAGCCATGCCAGCCAGGGAAAAAGTGATCCGAGGGAGGGACAGGGATTGGAAGGAGGGGAGCCGTCCACTGTCTCAGTGCTGATCTGTCTGTTAGTCCATCCTGGGCAGGAGCCCAGCGCCTTCCAACCACCCAGGACCCCCAATGAACTGCCAGGTGGTGCCCATGGAGGAGTAGGGACAGGAGTGGGTCCAGCAACTAGGGGGAATAGCTATTCCTGAAGATTCTAGCCCTGGGGACACAAGATGGGCTTCACTGCCACTCAGAGACAGGAAATGAACAGAGGCCAGACACGCTTAGAAGTCTGTCCCAGCTCAGAGAAGCCCTTGTTCGTGGACTGGCTCAGTGCCTCACAGTTGAACCCTCAGGAGGATCAATCACATGATTCTGTCCCCCTGGAGTCAGTCCGGGTTGCAAATAAAGTAGCAGCTGCCGCCGCCACGGGCAGGTTTAATGGATTTTTAAGGCAGAGTGCAAACCTCACGGCCGGCAGTGTGGGTGTGGCAAGAGGTCAGTGGAGAAGCATGGCTCCATGTCTGGCCAGGCAGACTCTCGCTAGCCTGCAGCTCCTTTGGTTTGCCCAACAGCCGGGATGCTGTGGATCAAGGTGGTCAAGGCCTGAGCTTGGCAGGGTCCAATATTCTGACCTCAGATCAGCCCCAGGCTCTCTGTGAGGCCTTGGGCAAGCTGCTTAGCTGCAAGGATGCATCCCCCCACCCATCAGGGGTGGCAATCTCCATCCTGGGAACAGTAACTTGGAAAGTGCATGTAAGTGCTCAGCAGCAAGCCTGGTCCACAGGGAGCTCTCAGAGCATCCTACGTGCCCCACATGCTGACTTCCTTTACCACCCAGCTGGCATTTTCAGCCCGAGGATCCAGTTCAGGAAGGGAGGCAGAGGGTGGAAGGACGTGGGTGCTGGTTGATTGGGCACCATTAGGAGAGATGAGCGGGACCAGATCGGGGCGTCAGAACAGTCACAGTGGTCACATGACCACTGTGAGGTGCTGAGTCAGGTGGGCCTGGGTCTACCTCACCCCTCACCTCCCTGATCAGCTGTGACACCGTAGGCATGTGCTTAACTTTTTCAACCTCAATTTCTTCACCTGTGTGATGGGGTAACTAGAGCCTCTCTCCGTGGCTGGGAGGATTAAATGAGATGTGGTAGGCAGTGTCTGGGCTGCAGCAAGCCTTTGACAAATGTTCTTCGCACCCTGATGGTGCCTCGACTTCTCCTGGGAGGTCCTGCAGAGACCGCAGGCTTCTCCTCCCTCCATGGAGTCCGCTTCCTTCTGGATCTGGCCATTGGGACCTGGGGCAGTCTGGGAGACACACGGTAACAAAGGCCCCATCCAGCCAGCCAGTTCCTCTCCCGCCTGGTAGTGGGGAGTGAGCCAGAGGCCTGATGCTTCTGTCGGATGGAACCTGGTCTGCTGACTCTGCTCACTCAGCTTCAGGGCCAGCCTGGGGGTAAGTGTGAACAGCCTAGAGGGACATCTGGGACTGGGCAACGGTGGGCATCAGGGAGAGTGCTGGACAGCAAGCAAGGGCCCTGGGTCCCAAACCCTGGTCTGCCATTCACCAGCCACATGTCCCTGTACAGAGCACGTCACCCTTAGGATCTGCTGCTTTACTGAGCAATGAGAGCAACCCCAGGTCCACCCCAGGATTCCCGGGGCTCTACAGGGTCACATGAAAGAGCAGGCATGTGAGCTCTTTGAAAATGGGGATCTGCTGGCTCAGGGGCAGGTGTGTCCCCAGGTGACTGGGCACTCCAGGTCCCAGAGGTTGTCTCCTGAAAGGAACTGACCTTTCTGCCCTTCAGCCTGTCTTGCGCTGGCATCAGGACCGGCTGCCACCTTTCCTTCTGGCTTCCTGCAGAGTCACCTTCTCTCCAGAACCACAGACGTGCACCAGGCTTCGGCCTCTGGGCATGACACCTCCCTCCCTCTGGAACGGCAGCTTCGAGCCCCGTCCACTTGTCCCGGAGGCCTGGAGCCCCATCCAGAACCCTCCCCTTTCTCAAAGGGATGGGCTTTCTGTGACCACGGCACTTTAGTGGGACCTCTCCTGGGGGCATTGGAGACATTCCAGTGTCTGTTCGGTTTATATGAGTTTTTCATCTCTTTCTGAAGGCAGGTGTGGAGAGGACTGCTTCTGTCTCCAGCCTCTCTTTGGGGATGTGGGTGTCATGTGTTTTCAATCATATGCATGTAATTTCCATATACAGTGGAAAGAACATGGATTTTCATGTCCAAAAGACGTGATGATTTGGCCAGCTTAATCATCCTGTTCTATCTACAGACGCCTATCTGGAGTGACCTTGAGCAAATTCTGGACCTTTCTGGGTCTCAGCTCCTCCCCCGTCCAGATGGGCTCACAGTATCTATGCTGGAGGGTTGTGGCAAGAATGCCCGTTGGTGTGTGTGTGTGCGCTTCCCCTGCGTGGAACTCCACTAACCCATCTAACAGGAGGAGACTGGACTCCGCAGGGGAGCCCTCCCTCGGGGCCTGGTCTCGGTGCTGATTGGCTCCTGTGAATGCTGCCTCGAATACCCCCTCCTTCTCTGCAGCTCGGAGAAGTGTGACAGGCAGATCTGGCCCCGGTGGGGTGCCCCCCTCCAGCACTTCGCCATCTCGGATTAGGTGGCTGGGTTCTTGAGTCCTTTCGAAAGGGGCAGTGGGGACCCTGCATCAGGCCTGGACAGGGGCAGGCCTCTCCTTTCCTGAGTGTGTGTGACCTCATTACCTGTGTCTGAAGCTGTGTGGGGCCCTTGGCTCAGTGAGGCCCAGCCTGGTGGCAGCCACCACAAAAACTAGGGACCTGGGCACTATGGCGGTCCCCCTGCCCCCAGAAACAGGAAATATTGTTCACAACCATAAAACGAGACTCCGATTTTTAGCAAACTAAGTCAAAACATTCTGTGTGTCGGTTTGGCATTTAGTCTTTCAGTATTCCCATTAAGAATTCAGGAAGCGAATGACCTTCACCCTGTGTGTGCACACAGGCACGTTCGTGACTATGTTGCGGTTAGCCCTGGTTTCCTGGTCACCGATATCATTTTAAAGTTGAGATAATTTCATGTTCCAGACCCAGGACCCGTCTTGAGAAGGTGGCCACGGACATAGGCAGGCAGGGGCCACTGTTCGGAGCGAGAGGCACTGGCTTCACTCGGTAGCAGCTCTGCCACTGGAGCTGCTTCAGTCTCAGTGTCCTCGGGTCTGAAATGCACGTGTGTCGCTCAGCTCCCTCGTGCACTGGAACCTGCTGCCTCACCAGACCGGGGCAGGTGTCATGCGGCTGACAGATGCAGCAGCTGGGCCTCGGGCCGGAATGCTGAGTATCAGCCAGACAGGGCTCTGCCGAGGTTGGCTGTGGATAGAGGAAGCTGAGGGCTCAGGGTCAGGGTCAGAGAAAGGCCTCTCTTGGCTGAGGGAATGCTCAGGGGGGTGTCTCGGGGAGCCTCAGCATCCCCGCCGCCACCCCCAGCAGGCTTGAGGGTGCTGCTGAAGCTCCGGCTGAAAGACAATGGGAAGAGGGCATCATAAACTGAGAACACCCCTGCTGTCCCTGACAGCTGCTGCCCTGAGCCAGGCCCTTGGTCATATGGATGGAGAAATAGGGCTCCTTCCCTTCTCAGCAAAAGGAGCCCACCTGAGCGCTCAGCTCAGCCCAGAGAAGGAAGAGCAGCAGTCCCGGGAAGCTCAGCTGGGGCAGGATGGCTAAGACCTCCGCATCCAGGTCTGGTTGGGTTGGTGCTCCGGGCTGGGACAGGTGGCACTGAGGTATGAAGACGCCCAGGTATGCCTCCTTTTTCTCAGCGACTCAGACTTTCTGGACTCAGCCTGGCTCTCACACACACAGGGGAGCATGGGTGGGGACAGGGCTACAAGGAGCCAATCACCCTGCACGGAAGCCTGCAGGGCTGGTTCTCTCCGCGAGTGTGTGTGTGTGTGTGTGTGTGTGTGTTTGCACACATCAGCAGGGTTTTCAGTGATAGAAGCAGCCAGATTCCTAAGAGGGAAGAGGAGAGGAGAGGGAAGAACGAGAGGCGAGGGGAAAATTGGGGGTGGGAGAGACAGATGGAGACACAGCAGTGGGAGAGAGAAGAGAAGCACAGTGAAGGAAAGAGAGAAAAAGGGGAGGGGGGAGGGGGAGGAGAGAGCAGAAAGGGAGAGTGAGCGAGCTAAGCAGAGAGAGGGGAGGAAGAGAAAGCCAGGGAGCAGGAGGGTGCGCGCGAGTGGAGACAGAGGGATGGGGTGAGGGCAGGAGGAAGCAGAGGCAGAGTGCGGGGGCGCAGGCGCCTGCAATCCAGGATCGGAGGGCTCTGAAAGCTTCTGATTCAGCGGCGCACCCGGCGCTTGCCCGGGAGGTGGCGCGGGGCTCCGGAGTGGCTGCGCGCCCAGGTGCCTGCCCGGGAGGTGGCGCAGGGCTCCGGGGTGGCTGCGCGCTCTCCAGGGAACCATGGTGGCGTGTACCAGGGGTCTCCGGGCGGTGGGCTGCGCCACGGAGGCGCCAGGTTACGGGCCCTGAGCGCAGGCGGGGCGCGCACCATGAACTCGTGGGACGCGGGCCTGGCGGGGCTGCTGGTGGGCACGATGGGAGTTTCGCTGCTGTCCAACGGGCTGGTGCTGCTCTGCCTCTTGCACAGCGCCGACATCCGCCGCCAGGCGCCAGCGCTCTTCACCCTCAACCTCACGTGCGGCAACCTGCTGTGCACAGTGGTCAACATGCCTCTCACACTGGCTGGCGTCGTGGCCCAGCAACAGCCGGCTAGCGACCGCCTGTGCCGCCTGGCCGCCTTCCTCGACACCTTCCTGGCCACCAACTCCATGCTCAGCATGGCCGCACTCAGCATTGACCGCTGGGTTGCTGTGGTGTTCCCGCTGAGCTACCGTGCCAAGATGCGCCTCCGCGACGCCGCGCTCATGGTGGCCTACACGTGGCTGCATGCGCTCACCTTCCCAGCCATCGCGCTCGCCCTGTCCTGGCTGGGCTTCCACCAGCTGTACGCGTCGTGCACACTCTGCAGCTGGCGCCCCGAAGAGCGCCTGCGCTTCGCGGTCTTCACCGGCGCTTTCCACGCGTTCAGCTTCCTGCTCTCCTTCGTTGTGCTCTGCTGCACGTACTTCAAGGTGCTCAAGGTGGCCCGATTCCACTGCAAGCGCATCGACGTGATCACCATGCAGACTCTTGTCCTGCTGGTGGACATCCACCCCAGGTGAGGGGGCCCCCATGGGGGCGCTGGGACTGGCTGCCTGGGTCTCGGTGCCTGGAAGGGGGTCTTTGTTAGGGGAAAAGGGAGCTTGTGTATCCCCCATGCTCCAGCGTGTGGCCTCGGATCAGACCCCTTTCCAAGGAATCTCCACGTCCTCTTAGGCAAACCCAGGTCGGGGAGGGGAAAAGGCTGCCCGTCTTGAGACAGATGCACGGAGCATCAGCAAAGCAGGGCCACCCAGAGTGTGGGTGAAAGAATGCACAGGCTTGTGGAAGCATCAGGGTGGAGAGCACAGAGCCAGAACTTCATTGGACTTCTTATACTTCTTTTATGTGCTTGTGCTTTCCACTCCAAACAGTGTACGCAAGGCAGTGGTCTCGGCTTCCTGCTCAGACCTCTCCAGGGTTCTCCCCCAGCCCTGAGAGCCTGGCCTGGATGTTTAGGGGGCTGCTTTAGGGCTATCAGACTGGACTGACCGTGCTCCTGGGTCTGTCATTTCCCTGGGGCCTGCGTGTGCCTGGGCGAGCCCTGGGGCTGCCCCTCCCTCAGTGGGCCCTTAAAGGAATATCTGAAGGACTCTGAGCAGGCAGGGAGGGGGGGTCTTCCATTCTCCCCAGATGACACTGTCCTGGGTCTTCTGGACTTGGAGCCTGGACAGCCTTGCAGACAGACGGTGTCACCTCCAAGATTTCCACCCACCTCCACCCTCACCTGGTGGCTATTTCCCAGGGAGGCATCTTTGGGGGGGGGCACCTAGCTGAGGTGTTGAGCTCACCGGGCTTTCCTCACAGAGGAGGAAGGGGGAAGGGACACGCTGGTGGCATTTCTGTGGACTCTGCTGCTGTGCATCCCCAGAAGGCACACGATGAGGCTGGCAGAGAGCACCCATGGGGGAGGCCAGGGCAGGGAAGGAGCTCCCCAGGGTGTGAGTGCCCCCCGCAGCCCTGGGAAGAAGTGAGCTCACAGCTGAGAGGGACAGACCAGAGGTGCCAGTCTGAGTGAAGGTGCCTTCAGTCCTGAGTTTTTCCTGCCTGTGAGCAGTAAAAGGAAAGTCTTTGAACTTCACTGTGTCTGCGCAAGGGCACGCCTGCATGTGTTCATCGTCCCCCCTCCAAATGTCCCTTCCTGGTTTTATGCTGATGAATTAGATGAGGACCCATCACAGACCCTTCCTCACAGAACCACATGTGACACACATGGCACGTACATGTGCATGACCAACAGGGCACACAGACCCATACATGTGGATATGTGAAGGCACACACAACCCCGCGTGTTCACACATCAACTGCATGTGTGACAGACCTACCACCATGGTGCACAGGTCACAGGTGTGGCCTGCATGCACACCGGCATGAGAACATATGCTGACTCACCGCTGGAGTCCGTGCACCGGGCGCCGCCATCTGCAGCCGCTCTTCTCAAGGCAAGTCCCCTTCTCACCCTGAAGGGCTGGGGACCTTGCCCCAGAAAGTGCGTGCAGCTCCAGGACAGGGTGGGGCTGGGGCTGCTGTGGGAGCTGTGGGCTTGGTTAGCCCTCGGGACCTGGGCCAGGCTGCTCCCACAGTGGCCCCTCCCCAGGAGTGTAACATCCGGGAAGGGGGTGGGCCTGGAAAGGAATTGGTTCTTATTTAGATTGTTCAGGCCCCATCTCTGCTCTCCTGCAGGTTGCAGAAGGAGCTGCGGCTCCTCTTCAGCCCATTTAGGGTGTAGTGGAGCCGGCTCCACTCTCCGCTCCAACTCCAGGTCGACGGGGCAGCGAGGGTTCCCAGGGGTCTCAGCACAGAGGCAGTGGCCCTGCTACCTCGACTCTTCTAAGCCCCAGGTTTTGAGGAGCCCTGCCGGCCAAGGAGCAGCCCCAGCCTGCACCTGGGAGAGGAGGGGCTTTGGGCACAAGGCCAGCCCTTGACCAGGTCAGACAGGCCCCACTGGGTCCCACTGGCCGAGGGCGGGCCTGAGGGCATGGCATAGTGGGCGGGGACGACAGCACTCATGCCCCCTTCCAGCAACACGATCTGCCTTACCCTGAGGCTCAGTCCCCAGAGTGGGTGGGGGGCGGGCAGTGGGGCTCCCTGACAGCTGATCCACAGGCTTCCTCCTCGGCTCAGACCTGAGAAACTGTAGAGCCAGCTCAGGGGCACACCCTCAAGCCGGGGGCTCCAGGAAGACAGGTCAAGCCCCTGGGCCGGAGTGGAGCTGAGAGTCGGGGCACCTTCGAGGAGGGACATTCCCCAGCCAGCTTCTTCATTCGGACAGCCAGGGCAGCAGGTGCCTTCCGCTCACCTGCCTCCACTCAGGACCTCCTGGGGCTTAATTAAGAGGGACCAGTTTGTGTGCCTGCAGGCCCAGACTGGCCAAGAAGCTCCCTCCTGGTGCCTGCTCTTCCCAGAGTGTTGAACATGGCGAGTGGCAGGCTGGGCCCCTTTGCTTAGACATCCCCAAAAGATCGGGGACCCTCTGTGCTGAATCAAACCTGGGGCCCCGAGAGATGTTCCCCACACCTGCCTTTCTGTGGCGGTTTCTCGGGTCATGACAGGTCACAGAGCAATTTGGAATGACTGACATTTTGTTACCCACCTGGTCCTCCAGCTGCCCCGCTGGCTCCATTCAGCTGTCCAAACCACAGCTCCGACTCATCATGCAGGTCCTCCAGCTGCTGCCGCCAGAGACTTGTGCTGTCATCTGACATGGGGCGCCGGCGGGGAGCCAGGGCAGTGGTGCGGCAGTCCCACTGTGGGCCGTCGCTCGACTTCCCGGAGCGGGGCGGTGCTGGGCCACACTCATCCCGTGTGCGGTGAACGGCTGCTGGGTACCAACCCTGCAGGGGTCCAAGCCGTGGCGTAGTAGACGGAAGAGGCCATGGAGGGAACCCATCGTGCCCTTGGTTTTACAGATGAGGACTCCGGGGAGGCCAGGGAAGTAGGGCATTGCCTACTTTAGCAGCCCTAGGTTGTGGCTCAGACCCCGAGACTGATGGGCATGAAACGGCACAGAGAGTGGCAAGCACACCCTCTGTGTCCGTGTTTGGAGGTCCTAAATGAAAACTAGAAACTGCCAGCTGAAACATGCGGTACCTCCCACCCTGACAAACACACCTTTATGATGCTTTGCAAGGTGGGACTTAATTTAGAACCCCCAGGCTCCCTGGAGCTCATGGTGGGGAGCACTGAGCTGCCCTGAGCACAAAGCCCCCCGCCCTGCTCCCCAGCCCCTGCTCTCCCCAGCACCGTAGGGGCCGGCTCTGTGCAAAGTGGATGCTTCAGGCCGTGCCTCCCTGTGCCACTCACTCCTCTGCCCTTCAGGTCTCCTGTCGAGGACACAAGGGGATGGACCTGGGAGGGTGCCCGTGCACCTTCTAGAAGCAGGATCAGGGCACTAGGGGGAGGAGTTTCGTGTTTCCGGTCAGGGCCCAGGGCGAGGCTGTGAGCTAGGGGACAGGGGGCACCTCCCTTATCTCATGAACTCTTTGTTCAGTGGGGACAGGTGAGGGCCCCTCCACATCCAGGGTCCAGGACACAGATCCCTCTCACAGGGCTGCCCACACCACTGTCCTGGTCCCAGACTGAAGGCTCCTCTCCACCACCAACCAGCTCGATACCTTGGCTTTTGCTTCATTTTCCTAAAAGCCAGGAGACAAATCTGGGTTGCTCAGAGTCCTCGGAACATGGGCTCTGGATCGGGTATGGTCACCTGGGGGTCACTCAGGACCCAGACCACTGTGCTGGGCATGGAGGTGCCTGCAGCCGGCAGGTCTCAGCTGTGGTTGCATATACTGACTTGGCAGCTGCTCCCAGCATTCTGTCCCTTCTGCCCTGCCGTAGAAGCCTACTGGGGAACATCTCTTTGACCCCACAGGTCACAGTGCTGGACAGCCTGTCTCCTTTTGTCACTAGGAAACCCTATGTCCCATCAGAGCCTGTGGGAACCTCACTCTGTCCACAGGCTTGCACTCTGGGAGAATGCACTGAGCCAGGCGAGCTTTGTACCCTAGTCCTCTGCACCGTCCGGGGGCCTGGGGACCCCAGCCACCACCACTGGGCCTGGGAGTATTTGGAGAATTTGTTTGTATGGCTACATGCAGCCTACTCACTGCTCAGTGGTCCTATGGGAGACGGTGGGGCCTCCGAACGCACCCCAGATCTTGGAGTCAGGAAACCAGGTCTGTCCCCAGCTCGCTGTGGGGCCCAGGGCACAGCATACACCTTCTGGCCCTCAGTGTCCTCATCTGCAAGTAAAGAAAGCAACAGCTCTCGGGGCTGCAAGATTCAAGGAGCTGAGTTGGGCAAAGCTGTGTACGGTGGGGGCAGAAATGGCAAGTACAAAGTCATTGTCCCACTGTTCTGGGAGCGAGTGCGCTGCTCCCACACTGTGCTGAAACAGGGATGACAAGCGGGAGGGCTGCTCTGCTCCCCTCGGGGCCCAGGGGACTGCCCTGTCTCCCTGTTCCTGCCACCAACCTGCTCTCACCTGGAAACCGGGGAAGCCTCAGGTAAAGATGAACCCATTTACCTGCAGGAGGCAAGGAAGCAGCCATGTGGCTCCTGACCAGCAACGCCAGACAGGGTGGGCGTCTGTCACCTGCACCCCGCTCTTTGGGGCAGGGCAAGGCCCTCCCTTCTCTGAGCCCCAGGTTCCCCACCGGGAGCTGGGTTGATGGTTGAGAGGATCTCTCTCACCACATGGGACATCAGCCATAGAGTCCAGCCTGCCTGTCCCAGAGCAGAGAACTGACCGGACCGGTGGGGAGACTCACCCCACATGGGGTGGGCACAGGCCTCCTCTGGGTGGTTCTAAAGCATCTGAGAAGTGTCCTTCTCAGGGCCAGGGTCACAGATTGGAGGAGGGCCTGGTCCCAGGGCCAACGCCAGTTTGGCACCCCCATCCTGCAGTGAGTCATTTTTACAAGGTTGGTGCTCATTTCTTAGGGGTGACCAGCATACTCTGCTCCTCCCAGGGGTGGCTGTTTCACAGTTCTCAGGACACCTGGCTCATGTCCCAAATCTCCAGCAAGTCTCACCTCAATCGCACTGACAGTTTTAGCAGAAATATTTAACTATTTAAAAGTCTTGTGTTGAGGAGAATACGCCCCAAACGCTGCACCCTAGGGTGGCCATTGTCCTGGTTTTCCTGGGACAAGAGGGCCCCAGGGTGTAGGACTTGGAGTTTTGAAACCAAGACCACCTCAGGCAAACCAAGATGAGCTGTTCTCACTGCACCCAGAACTGCTCCGGATGGGCCTCAAGCCTTCTCTTCATACCCACCCGTGTCCTGCACATGTCACTCGAGCCCGAGGACCTCGTGGTCAGCTCTACAGAAACCCAGGTACAAATGGAGCGTCAGGAGATTTAAGACCTGCTCTCGCTCTGTGACCCAGATCAAAGCCGCCCTTCCGTCCCCCCCTCCCCCCACACCACCGTGTTCTTCAGGTTTTCCGGATGAGCTGATGCTCTGGCACCTCTCTGCATAGGAGCCCCACTGCAGTCTCTAAGATGGCACATGTTAAACACTCAAGAAGTGTGGGTTGTTATTGACATAAGAATTAGAAATCAATTCATAATATCAGTCACGAGTAATAAATGTTTGGCCAGTATGAAACCTGTTTGTACCAAGCCAGACTCTGGTTCCCAACTCTCCAAATTCCTGGAAAGGCACCGGTCAAGGGAGGGGAACCCTGCCGGAACTTCAGGCGCCTTCGATCCAGACACACATGGAATCACTCACCTGTGATCAAGAAAATGAAGGAGAAGCATTTCGATTAAGCATCAATCATGGTTCTCGTGGAAGGGAGCCCTGGCCTTTCTGCTGCGCACCAACCTGGCTCATGGCTGTTCCCTCCCCTCCTTGCTTTCGTTGAACAGACTGGCCTATTTTGGGAACCAGGTTACTGTGGCCCAGTCTGGGCTCTGCCCAGCTGTCTTCAGTCCTGGGACAGCTCTGTCCCCAGTCTTCCTCCCTGCTTACTTTTGGATTCCCGTGATTTATCTTCAAAGCGAATAGTGGAGACACCTACCATCGCTGGCCCACGGGGTGGAGCATGGTCTCCCGTCCACGGTGCTGTTACTCAGGCACTTCCCTGGGGCTGCAGGAAGCAGATCCCGCAGGCTGCTGCCGTCGCTGGCATGAGCAGCCTGTGCGTGGAAGACCCGGAGTGTGGGTGAGAGGCATAGGTGGCAAGCTCCTGATTCCATCCTCAAAGTAGTGCCCCTGATTCTGCAGAGACTTGGTCATCTCTTAGCTTCAAGGATCTTGGTCTCTGAAGGAGTTGAGTGACTTGTCTCTCAACGATGCTATAAATGGTGTTCGTTGCTCCCAGCCGGGCCGAGGCTTTGGGATGAAAGACACAGGGCTGAAGATGCGGAAGAAAGGAAGCCCTGTTCATACTGTGCCTGGAGTCCAGGTGGCCCAGGTGAAAAGGACCAGCTTTGAATACCACGGACACAGGTCCAAATCCTGTCTCTACTTCCCAGCTGAGCCAGTGCACTCAGCCTCTCTGAGCTCACGTTCTTCATTTACCTGCCCTGTAAAACGTCACCTGGCAGGTAACACGCACCTGGCGGGATCCATCGTAGTAAGGATAAGAATTAGAGATGGTACTTAGTATGGACTCTGGGCTGGGGCACAGCCCGTGTCCAGTGAATACGAGTAGTAACAATGATTTCGTGTTTTTTGTACTTGCCCGGGCGCTGCGCTCACCGTGTTACACCCTGAACACCCTTCATGCATCCGTGTGCTTTCATGCCTGTAACTCTCAAAACAGCCCTTTGCGGCATTTTGTTACATGGCTACCCACACGCTACAGTTGATGGCCCCGAGGCTCAGTGGTGCAGTCCCTTGGCTCTCTGAGCCTCAATTCCCCCATCTGCCAGAGCAGCTCATACCACCAGTGGTGCCCACAGCCACGCAGCTGCAGCCAAGCCCCGACCTCGGGTCTCCCAGGCTGCACAGCCACGTTCCAGCACCGTAGCCCAGTGTGACCTGGGCAGGTCGACCTGGGAGTCACCGTGTCCCCTTCTCTGCCTGCAGTGTGCGGGAACGCTGTCTGGAGGAACAGAAGAGGAGGCGCCAGCGAGCCACCAAGAAGATCAGCACCTTCATAGGGACCTTCCTCGTGTGCTTCGCGCCCTACGTCATCACCAGGTGAGCCCGAGCGGCGATGCTAATGTGGCGGGTGGGACGGGCACAGGGCTTTGGAGAGCACAGAGGGCCTGCGTGACCTTCAGCGGTCCCTGGTCCCTCTTGGCCACAGATTGCTACAGACAGTCCATAGAGGGGTGAGGGTGAACTTGACAGAGTTGATAAGGACGCTGCATTCTCTCCCTCGGTGGCCGTGAATCCTTTTAGAGGAAACTCAGAACTGAAGGGGCTGTGAAAGACTCTCCCACTTGATTTCCAAATCTCACCCCCCCAACCCTTCATCCTGGGCCCCACCAGAAAGGGGCCCTACAGGAAGGGCCAGGGGAAAGATGGAAGAAGGCACCGTGAAGGTGGGCACAGGAGAGCCCTGCCCCGGGTGTGCTGGCGGGGACATGCTGGTGACAGCAGGGCCATGCGCCATCAGCACAGGGAGCAGGGAGCGCAGGTGGGCTCACCTGTTCTGCATCCCCAGGGGTCTCCCACTCCTACTCCAGCTGTGGTGGGCTTGTCATGTTCTTTCCAAGTTCCCAGCCCCATGCCAGCCACGGTTGCCGTGTTATGGCTGCAGGACTGTGCATTCAGAAAGCCAGTCTTCTCTGACTACAGAATTTTCTCCGCATGTTTTATGCAGGAGAAAAAAGTATCACCCCGTCAATTCTGTGCACTGGAGGGAAATAAAACCCAATACTGGTGTTGCTGAAGTATAGTTAGGGTGAATGAGCACTAGGAGGCAGCAGTGGGGCAGAGGTGGGCTTGTAGGAGCCAAGAGGTACTTTCTGACAACAGGTGACCTGGACCTGGCATGACTCTGCCTTGCAGGGCACCTTACATGGTACCTCCCGGACCCTAAAGCGCCCCCAAGGGGTGGGCTGGGCAAGTGGTATGAGCTGCTCTGGCAGATGGGGGGACTGAGGCTCAGAGAGGAAAGGGATCGGACAGATCATTTGGGTAACAAGGCACAGGGCAGCCTGAGCCCCTCTGAGACGGCCACCAAGCAGCCCCGGGGACTCTCCTGGAGGCAGCGCCAACTCATTGTTCTCTGCCTCCTTCCTGTCCCTGGAAATAAGTCAAAGCCACTGAGGCAACGACAGGCTGACTTTGTGGAATCCAGAGGGGAGAGGTAAGAACCAGCTGTTCCCTTAAATTTACCGTGGAACGTGGGGTCCCCATGGCCCACTGGGTGCAGGAGAGCCCAGCCCCTGGCATGCTCAGCCTGGACACGGTGGCCCGGCTTCTGCACCTGAAGCTGGGCCACCCTCTGTGTCCAGATAACATCCTTGTCTGAAAGACAAGGATTCTGAGGCTCAGCCAGGCGCCAGCCTGGGTCGGCCTCGCCCCGAGCCTGCACACAGGTCCTGGAGCTGCGTCCATCGACGTCTGCGCTGGGAGCGCAGGGTTCGATGCTTCATGCCTGTGTCCCACTCTGAACCAGAGAGCTGCTGCCTCTGAGATGATTGAGATCGAGTTTCTGGAGTGTCACTGAAACCCCTCATCGAGCTGTCAGCACAGAAGCAGGCTCTGCCCACAACAGCGCAGTGACTGTCTCTACACAGGCAGCTGCCTCGCCGCCACCTCCCATCCAAACCTCATGAACGGAGCCAAGGCGGGGAGTCCGGGTTAACGTCGGAACAGCTGTGGGGACCTCGACGCTGGTAGAATCGGGATGTGAGGAAGAGAAGGGGCTTCTACTGTGACATCTGCCACCCTCCGAGGTAATCGAGAAGATCAGGCTGGCTGGGAAGGGACTCCCTTCTCTTTGTCCCCAGTGTCCTCCTATCTGCCTGACAACATTCTCAGAGGGGGAGCGTCATCCTTGAGTCAAGAACCACTCAAGTCTTCAAATAGCTTCTTGAGCTTCCCTTGCATTGCTCCCTTATTGTAAAAGAACACAAAGTCTCCGTCACTGAGTGGATACACCTGTAATGCATCTCAGAAGGAACAGTACTGACCTGGCTGCACTTGGTACGGCGCTCCCACAAGGTGAGCACCAGCGCCCTCATCTGACCGTGGTTCAGAGCAGCGAGAAGAGTTTCCCAAGGACATGGGAGTAGCAGCTGGCAGAACCAAGGGTTAAAGGTTGGTGTCTGGCCCATTGGCAATAATGCAGCCTTGCGGCCATGCTACATCTCCAAAGCATGGGGACCGGAAATACAGAGCCACCCACCTGCAGGCTGACCCGACCTCCTACCCCAGCACCTTTGCATGACCAAACTGCTGTGGGTGAAGGCAGGTAGGCGTGTGAGCCCTTTCTCTGGAAGAAGTGGTGGGTTCACATGGTGTCACCTCTGACTTCCCACTTGGGTGACATCAACTTGGGTGGACTTGGAGCGAGATCCAGAGGCCACCCGCGTGGGTGGCGGGAGCCACCTACAGACTTGGCTAGTGCAGTACTGGCTGTGCCACAAACCCCCCTCAGAAAGACAGTTCCACCAGCTGCCTCAACCAAAGAGCCGCCACTGCACCTGCACACATCAGGTGACCGTGGGAAACATCTGGAAGCCCCCACCTTCCCTTAATACGAGACACAACTTCTATCCACTCACACACTCACATCAGCTCCCAGGTCCCCAAAGCCTTGGGACACGTCAGCTCTTCCCAGAGCATTTGAACAGGGCCCCGAAGACCCTCGCCAGATACTCATCCAGAAACACTTGTAAGGTGATTATCTCCTTAGAGATAAATACGTACAAGTAATCACGGTTGTCCCAAACCCTTGGAGTGGGGCACCGTTATTGCTCTTTTCAAAGTCACAGACTTCTGTCGCTGGCAGCAGAGTTGGGTCTGCAGGTGTCCGTCCAGTGTTAATGTTCTATTACCAAATGCCCTTTCCATCCAATGCCTCATGAAAATTTAATGGCCAGCTCATCACGTACAGGTCTTCACCTGCACAGACCAGTGTCCAGAAGACTCGGGAGGACATGTGGCCGGCTTCCCAGAGAAAGTTCTGCTGCTGGGGCTGCGTTCGGTGCACAGCATGTGTGTGTGAGTGTGTGTGTGTGTGTGTGTGTGCGTGTGTGTGCGAGAGAGAGAAGAGGTGAGGGACGGTTTTAAAAGCAGACGCTAATTTACCATTTTAAATTCAAGAGTGGAAAGTAAAGCTCCTTGACCATGTCCTGTAACCAAGTCAAGGCACTAGGAGGGGCAGCCGGCACCAGGAGGACACACGGTCCCTGAGTGTCACCTACAATCCAGGGTTCAAGTCCTGGTTCTTCCACATCTGGCCTGTGGCCTTGGCACTTCACTTGGCCCCAGTCCCCCCACCCCCCGTGCAGTAGGGAGAACACCTTCAGGGGGCTCGAGGCCATGTACGTGAAGCGGTTATCAAGGCACCGAGCCTGTGGGGGCTCAGGGGAGGGGCTGGGTGGGGGGCTGCAGGCGTCACTGCTCCTGTTCGCATCCCAGTCGTCACTGTGCGGCAGAATTAAGACATTGGCCTATCGGGGTTCAGAGATCGCCTTGGAGATCTGGCAAAGGCACCCCCATCTGCCATCCTGGGACCAGGATGGACAGACTGCTGGGTAGGGGTGAGAGGTCCCTGTGGATGAGGGGTGAGGGGGGAGGGGGGAGGTCTTCCTGGCCTGATTAGCCCCCTGCTGAGACAGTTAGGTGGGGGACCTGCCAGTGACCCAGAGCAGAGGGCTTCCTGCAGAGAGAGAGAGAGAGAGAGAGAGAGAGGGGAGTGGCTCCCTGGAGTTTCCCCCTCACCCCATCCACACTGCCAACAAATACAGAGCAGAGGGGTGCAGAGGCGGGGCCAGGGGTGCAGGACTGAGAGCGGTGGGGTCTGTGGGTACCTGCTCTGTCCCTCAGGTCAGAATAGCGCACATCTCTGTGCTCTGCCTCTGATCCAGCAGCAGACCCACACCCTGCTGACAGCATTTCACCCCCACCTGGGGCTCTGCCCAGACTCTGCCCAGACCTCCCTCTCCCCACGGTCCCCCACCGTCCCCCACCCCATGCTCACAGCGGGGCCTCTTGAACCTGCATCCCAGTCACCTAAAATGCTGGAAAACACAGACTCCTGCCCGCCCCCCCAACCTGACCCCCGACCCTGTGGGCTCTCACTCCCGGGACTGTGGGATTCCGAGGGACAGCTGCGTGTGGGGTTAGCACGTGTGGGTTCTGGGCGCAGAAGCGTGAACGTTTCCGCCTGAATGGACCCTAGTGACAGGGTTTTCTGGCTCACACCCCAGGCAGCACATGCAAAGTCCCCTTGGTGCTGAAGGGGAGGTCAGGGTCAGGTGGGGGCAGGGAGGGCACGGAGGGGGCAGTGCCCTGCTCCAGAGTGGCTAATGCCTCTGTGACCCCACCCCCATCGGCCCAGGTAGCACAGTCCCCACGGGGCTGTCTGTGGCAGGGGCAGGGGCGGGGGTGTACACCTTTCTCAGTGTTGCCGTAGCAAGCAACCAGTGACAGAGGGGCTTAAACAATAGAAATGTATCATGGCAGGTCTGGAGGCTGCAAGTTGAAAATCCAGGTGTTGGCAGGGCCTGTTCCTTCTGCAGCCCCCCCCCCGCCCCCCTGCCAGCACCCGAGTGCTTGCTGGGGGTCACTGGTGTTGCTCAGCTTGCAGACACATCAGCCCATCTCTGCTTTTACATTCACACGCTGTTCTCTCCTGTATCCAAACTGACCCCCTTCGTAAGGACACCAGTCCAGCTGGGAGGACCTTCTGGGAGCAGAGCCCACCCCAGTAACCTTCTCTTAACTAATGACCTCTGTAAGGACCCCGTTTCCACGTAAGGCCCCATTCTAAGGCGCAAAGGCACCCCCATCCTAAGGGGGGGGTCAGGACTTCAACATACGAATTTGAGGGCGATGCCGTTCAACCCAGCAGGGGGCTACGAAGAAAAGGAAGCCGAGTCCCACTTTATAAACACCTGAGCCCAGTAATCCCTAAAGGCAGGGCTCTTGGGTCTGAGCTGGGGCTGGGGTGGGAGAGGGGAGTCAGCAAGCCAACCCGTGCAGAAAAAGCCAGCCAGGGCAGAGCAGGGCCGTGAGCCTGCCCATGGGGACACCGGGACTGACCGGAATAATAATGCTGCTTTCCCAGTGAGCACGAGGGCTGGAGGGTCCCTCTCTAACAGGTCATTGGACGGGTCATGTGATCATACACGTGCCTGCCCAGATCTGGAAAAAAGCAATCGTGGCAATGGGGACGTCCTTGCCGCCTCTCAGGCCCCTTGAACAGAGGTAGGGCGGAGCAAAGCCAACCACAGCAGGTGCACAGCAGTGACGGTAGGCAGTGGGGGGTCCAGGTGCACAGAAAAAGCAGAGAGCAGGTCAGCCAGCCACAGGTGGGCACAGAAGGGACATCCCAGCTTCAGCCCCACCCAGTGGCCACACTGGAGCAACGGCTGGGCCTGGACTGACCCAAAGCATCTCTGTGCCCCGAGCCCTGACAAAGGCCAGACATGAGCTTGTCAGACAAAGCAGAGGTCTCCCTGTGTACTGCTTGCGGGGGCATGTGAACACAAGTTTCGGGCAGCACAGAACAACTCCATGGGGAAGGTGCTCTCGGGGCTCAAAGGGACCCCGGAGCCCATCTCGTCCAATCTCATTGCTGAGGTTTGAAGCTCAGGGTGGCCCCGAGCCCAGACTGGAATGAGGTTAAATGGAACAGGTTTCCCATGCAGGAGACGCTGGCTTGCTGCTCAGTCTCTCTGAGCCTGGATTTCCTCATCTGTAAAATGGGAATGATACCGATTCCAAGGGACAGGGGTTGCGCACACCAAGGATTTGACCCAAAGGAGACGCTCCCCTGGGGGCGGCTGCTGCTGAGCCGGGAGAGTTCAGACTTCACGTGAAACCTCTGCGATGAAAATGCGAGCGGTTTAACCTCTCCGTTTACCTCTAACTGGTGAAACTTTAAATTGTCCCCAATGGTTTTACTCTTCTGTGGAGGCTGCAGAGCCTGCGAATAACAGTTTAGATCTTGCTGGATGGTTTGATGTTGTTTGGCTCTTTTAAGAAGCCCTGGGGGAGAGCCATTATGCTAAGGCTGAACATGGTAATGCTCAGAAGACCAGACGTTTTGGAAAAGTAACTTGGCACCGGGTAGCAACAAGGTGCTGGCATTCGGCTGTTTCATTGTTATTATTTGGTGTGAATTCTAAACTCAGGGTGAGGGCAGGTTGTCTCCTGAAACTCATTGTTTCCCAGAGTAGAGTTCTTAAAAGTACAGAATTCCCGAACGCTAACAGCCCCATTTCCCCATTCGAGCTGCCAAGGATGTGAGCAGAAGTGGGCCCACGGGGTCAGAGGGCAGGGCAGACAGTGGGGCTGAATGAGGAGGTGGATGGCGGGCTCCGAATGCGCTCATGAAGGACCTGCTCTGGAGGGGAGGCTCACAGCCGCCAGCTTCCTGCTGGAGAATGTCCGAATATGGCCCAGGGGGCTGGACACACTGGAGAGGGGACCATGCATCAAGCAGGGCTGGGAGGGTGCTTCCTGCACAGGGAGGAAGGCTGTACAGCCTCCTGCCTGGCATCAGCACCGCTCCCTGGGTCGTGGATGGGTCCCGTGACCCAGCTGGGTCTTCCCTCACCCCCTCTGGTCTATGCGGGTCATTTCAGGGGACCCTGATGGCCACTATTGCTAGGGGCCACCAAAGCCCAGCCCCAGGAAGAGGACTTCCTGGCCAGCAGACCTTCTCCTGATGTAAGACATGCCATGCTTTGAGCTTTGCAGAATGTCTGCAAAATTACCCTCAGCCCTTCCTCCCAGGCAGCCTCGTTGGAAGGCAGAGTTGGGGTGGGAAGCGGAGAATCTGCCTCTGTGGCTTGTGGTGTTTGTAGAGCTGATCTGGTTGAACTGCTTGTTTTCCACTTGAGAACAAGCAGCCCCGGTGCACACAGCAGCTGAGAGGCGGAGCTGGGGCCAGTGGCCGGGACACTATTCCCTGTTAGCTCATTTCTTTTATTGTTTTAGGATTTTATTGATTTATTTTTAGAGAGAGGGGGAGAGAAGGAGAAACAGAGGGAGAGAAACGTCAATGTGTGGTTGCCTCTCGCACACCCCCTACTGTGGACTTGGCCCGAAACCCAGACCCTGCCTGGGAATCGAACCAGCAGCCCTTTGGTTTGCAGGCTGCCACTCAGCCCACTGAGCCCCACCAGCCAGGGCCTATTAGCTCCTTTCTCAGATGAGCTTCCATTCCAGAGTCAGACGGACCTGGGTTCCAGTCCTGCCTTTGCTGTTTACTGGTCATGTGACTTCCAGCAACGCCTTAACTTCCTCAGACATCTATTTCCTCTCGTGTAAAATGGAGCTTGTCCCATCTCCCAGGGCTCCGTGAAATCACACGTGTTGGCACAGCCCCCAGAATAAAATAAGTGCCTGGTGAACATCTGCTCCCCTCACTGTGACTGCTGTGAATTGCTGCTGTTGTAGTTACTGAGCAGGCTGTCCCAGGGAAACGGAGGCTTGGCCAGGAAGCCGGGGTCAGGGCTCCGAGCAGGGTCGGGGCTCCGAGCGGGGCCGCGCCTGGCCGTGACCTCCCGTCTCTCCGCAGGCTGGTGGAGCTGTCCTCCGCGACGGCCATCGGCTCCCACTGGGGCGTGCTCTGCAAGTGCTTGACCTACGGCAAGGCCGCCTGTGACCCCTTTGTGTACTCCCTGCTGCGACACCAGTACCGCAAAAGCTACAAGGAGATTCTGAACAGGATCTTCGACAGGCGGTCGCTCCGCTCGTCGGGCCTCGGCGGTGACTCCCACAGCCAGAACGCACTGCCAGTCTCTGAGTGAAGGCCACCGCTGGACAGTCTGGAACGAGGCAGCTGGTGAGACGGCAGGGAGGGCCGGGGCTCGCGGGCAGACACACCCAGCCGCCACCCACCTGGCGTGCCCAGTGACCCTGGTTCCCTGGCTTGGAGGGGCTCTTCAGGCTGCTCCCCGTGTCCTCATCAAGGGCAGCTGTCCTCATCCTTATCACCAAAGGATGACCATGGGACGTGCTCTGGCTCCTCTTTCTGAGAAGCTCCTTTGGGCTCCTAGACTCCCCAGAGGCTCCTAGAGGTGACCGTCTGTCTGGTCACGATCAAGGACACATGGGGCTGGTGGCAGGTGGGAAAGCATGATGCCCACCTGCTTCTTAAGCACTGGCCATTGGGCTCCAAGCTGCAGAGAAGTGGTGACCTCCATGGGACATTGGTCATGGGAGCGAGGTTGGCGGTGGCCCTGTGGCCCCACACGGAGCCTGCCCACCCTTGTCTGTGTGATCTCAGAAGCTGCTTTGACCCAAATATTCTGCAGCTGGTCCTCACCACGTTGTGCTCAGTGAGGACAACGTTCAACAACTAGCGGCTCCACAGTTGCTGCCGACCGGTCTTAGCGATGCTTCTGCTGGATCTGACTTCTGTTCCTCCCTTTCGCACACAGCCACCGTCTGTGTGTGCGGACAACCCGAGCACGGACACAGTTGCAACAGGCAGGTAATACATGGAATGAGGTTCTCTGAAGTCTGACCCTGAAGTCACCTTCTGACGACTTTACGTGCCATAGGATTGGTGCCCAGAAGAGGCGGGAGGAAGGTGGCTGGCTGGCCCCCCACCCTGATTTGAGAGCTGGGTTGGCAGGGGGAATTTTACCCCATCTCACACGTCTTGTCTGGCACGTCCTTTGAAGTGGACGGATGAGAACGGGCCGGAGCCGGGTTTCAGCATTGACTTTGGAGCCCGGGGTTCCATTATCCTAGTTTCTGTAAGTCCACCAACAGAAAGTGGAGGCGGCCCAGGGGAGCCAGAAAGTGCCCTGTGATAATGACGGGAGAGTGAAGTTTTTATGGAAAATTATCACTATCGTCCATGTGCTAATCCATTAGCAGCCTCCATCTGGATTCAGTACAAACCAAGGTGAGTGGACCACGCCTTCTGCCCATGCCGTCTTCAGTCACCATTTCAAGTGAGCGTGTGACTGCTAAGGGCAGTCATTTCTCAGGCCTCCGAGGGATTTCTCTGGGGTGGCAAGGATGGGGCGAGGCAGGCAGCCTTTTCTCTTCTGCCTGCTCCGCACAGCCTAACTTTGGAGGTGCGGAGAGGAGGCCACAGTCTGCCAGGAGCCCACCGGGAAGACCCTATTGGTTTTCACTGCCAGGTGGCCCCAGGAATGAGAGAAAGAAAGTGCTGTGCATGCCTATTTGAAAAGATGTCTTATGAAACTTAGCTTCTCTTTCAGAAAACAAGCAATGGAGCCTGGGCTAGTCTGGTCTAATTTCAAGGTTTCCATGGAGACTAGACCAGAGACAGATGCAGCTTCCCAGGCCTCCATCCTTCCAGGTGCAGGTGGAGGTGTGCTCGCCCCTGCCTGGGGGAGCAGGGCAAGGTGGGGGGACACATCCTCCCAATTCCGTGTTTAGGGATGTGACTTTGTTAGCTTGACATCAGCCACAATGGGAATATCTGTACTAGGAAAATCACCAAATGCTTCAAATCAGGTCTTCTCTCCACCGAGAGCTGGTGGTTAACCATCCACCGGCGCCCCATTGCCCAGGCCCGACTTCCTGGGTTTCTGAAGCCGAGCTGTCTGATTCAGAACGCATGTGGCCACTCGAGTTTGAATCGCAGCGGACATTCAATTTTGTGATGGTTTCCTACTGACAAGCAGCTGTTCACTGTCCATTGTTTCAGCGCCAAAAGTCCCAGTGAGGGTGAAAACAAGCATGGAACCAGGAAAACATGCCCGAGAACTCTCAGAACCGGGCACAAGGCAAGAAGTGGTGCAGCAGAGGAGGTCAGAAGAAAGTCAAGTTCAAGCTGTAAAATGTGGCTTTGATCAAAGGCAGACTGGACAGATAGATAACTGGGTCACCCCCCTTCCCGCGCTGTCTGTACACACAGCACGTGGTCCTAAGGCAAGTAGGCATCTTTACCTCTTCTTTAGCTTGAAAAGAGGCATTTCATAATTTTCACAAGACTGCTAAAAACCCCATGAAACCAGCTGTGCTGGCATCTGGTGGACAAAACTCTAGCTAAGTCAGCTGATTGGGTGTTTTCATCATTACTTAGACAAAGGCATCAAAACCCAAGGGGAAGGGAAAAGAAAATCACAGTGTTAGCGATGATCAGCACCCACCAACCCAGCCGGAACCCCCTCTGGGTGGAGGTTTATACTCATCTCTATAGTGTGTAAAATTTTCCCCTGCATCCTTATTCCCAGGATAATTATCTACCTCATCGGGTAACACAACGTATCCATGTCACACGGTTTTCTCAGGTCAAGTTCTTAGAACCGTCTAGGTTGGAGTCTATGCCACAGGGCCTGGGCTTCCTTCAGTCTAGTGCAAGGCTCGAGGTTTAAGGCACACACGCTGGTGGACATCTGGACGCATGAAAACAGTTAAGAAGCCGGAAAATAAAGCGTGGAATGGAGAGGCTGTAAATCCCTAAGCCCACGGGTAGGGCACGGTTTCCCGCCCTGCACGATCGGGGTCCCTGAGTTTAAACCCAGCCCACGATGCCTTTTTCAGTCATTCTACAACTGAGCTAGCTTTTCCTCATGCTGCTTCTTGAAGGAGGAGACTTCAGAGCCCTAGACCCACCGAGGGACCTTGGGCTCAGAGGAGCGTCACGGCATTCGGGGTCTGTGTGCCTCGTGGTCAGCTGACCTCCCAAAGCCGTTTTTAACTCAAACTGGCTGCAGGGAGGGGAAGTTGCCTTGAGTTGTCTCCTACCTACTGTACATTCCTTCTAGCCCTCGGCTTGTCTTCTGTCACCGTGAGCAATAAACCTCTCTCCCCAAGTCTGTGACGTTAGTTTTCTTTTCCGTGTTGCCTTTCTTTCTTTGTCGGAGAGAAGGAAGCATGACACTGGGAGGGCCCCAGAGGGACACTTGCTGGGGTCTTGACTCAAACCCGGCCCTGGAAGCTCCCGGAGGAGACGGTGTCCCCTCTGTCACTAACCAGACCGTCCCACCCCCTTCCCACCAGCCTCCTGCACTTTGAGAGCGGAGGCAGGGCCAGAGAGAGATGGTGCCGGATGCTGCCCCCTGGGAGTGGGACCCTTGTGGGTTTTCATCTTTATCCAGCGTAGCTGCTCCTGCCAGTTCCCTGGGAGGAACTCGTAGTAATGACAACGTCCTGACAGCTGCTGAGTTCTGAGCAAGTACTAGACCCCAGGCACCATGCTGAGTGTTTGGGGCTGTGTTCCCATCCATCGGCATAAGAACCTTGTGATGTAGGTACTGTGGTGACCTCTTTACTGGCCTGGGAAGATGTGCAGGTCCCAGGGCAGCAAGCAGAGAAATTTGAGGGGCATGCAAAACAAGGCGGGGTCTCAAGAAGGGCAGATCAGTACCAGTGGCAAAAGTCCCCAACTTCATTTAGCTCTTGGCAGCCTGAGGCTCATAGGGGGTCCTTCCATTGGCTGCCAGGACCACCCTCAGCCCCACCCTAAGGGACTCTCATCACCTGGCCACCATGCCCCGGGGTGGGGGGCCTCGGACTCCTCTTTCTGTATGTTTCCAGGAGAATTCTGGGGGAGATGTTTAGCAGCGACTGCTGCACCCAGAATTTACCATTCACATGCCCTTTTCACCCACAGGGAATCTGATTAAATGTTTTCGGTGTCTGAAGGCTCACTGTCAACCTGGATTTCCCCACGACTCTGGGCCAGCACCCTTCGTGAGCATCAGCCCAGGAGAGCCCTGCCCCGGCACCCGCCGAAGTCAGCCTCTTCGTGCTCTGCAGACGGGAGGGTTTCCATGGAAGACCCTGGTGACAACTGCCAGAGCCTGAGCTGAGCAGCAAGGGGGGCAGGAGAGTGGGGAGCCTCCCGGGTTTGTACTTAGGTGGTCAGAGGGGGGAGCTGGCTGAGGGCAGTGTGGTTTTTGTAAGTCGCCACCTTCCAGCCAGGTCCCACTTTCTCTCCAGACCAAGTGGCCTGTCGGGCCTCAAAGAGCTAGTCTGACCCTGGCTGACTGCTTTCACTCTGCTGGGGGCAAAAGCCCTGGCCTGGTCCCTGGAGGAGATTCGGGAACCTCAGCCTTGCACCTGCCTCCACAAAGTCAAAGGCCCCTCATGCCTCCTCCCTCAAGTACGGGGTGAAGGAGCAGGGGCTGGGCATTTCTGGGGGTCAGCCGTCCAGGGGAGACGGATCCCCAGGGGTGGAACTGCCCATCTTCCCAAGGAGTCTGCATTGGGAAAGGGAGCGGCTGGGACACATGGCTTTGCTCAGCCAGACCCGGGCGTCACTGAGCAGAGAGGCATGTGGCAGCCACAGGCTCCGGCCCAGAGCTGTGACGATACTGACCTGTACCCCTGGGATGTTTGCTGAGCACGGCGTTGCAAGGTGCACCTTGAGCTGGCCCTGTGTTGTGTCTGCCTCTGGTGGGGAGGTGGGGCCAGGACACACACGACAGTGTGCAGGCTGGGGCTGCCCTGAGGCACTGGCAGGATGCTAGGGCTGCAAAGGGAGCCCTGGGCTCTTGGGCAGTGAAGAAGGAAGGTTCTGGAAGGTTTCCTAGAGGCAGTGGCATTGGGCCAGAACCTCCAATAGGGAAGTGCATGTGACGAGACTCAGAGGAGACATGAGGTGCCTGTGTGTGACGGGCGTCGAGCTTAGTGTGTGTCCAGGAGTAGAAAAAGGGGGCAGTGCCTCCCGAGACGGAGCAAACATGACCTGTGGCTGGCGGGAGGTGGCAGAGGTCTCGACAGTGGGAGGACCAAATTAGATCTCTCTTCACAGGAGAAAATATGGGGGCAAACCCATGTTTAGTCAGCTACTGGAACAAGGGCAAAGGAGAGGAGGAGAGAAGGGAGGGCAAGAGGGAGGAACAAAAG